TCTCTTCCTCTGCTGTTTAACAGTGTCTGGGGTGTCTGTACTTTAGCAGATGTATGGGCAGGACCTGACTCCATTGTTTCTTGAGCTCCAATCCAAGGACCCTTTATTTATTTATTTATTTATTTTTGTTTGTGTGTGTGTGTGTGGTTTTTTTTTTTTTTTTTTTGACCCTTTATTGTTCACCATTTACTGAGCCTTCCCATGCCTGGCTGTATAACCTTCTAAAACACCTTTTGCCTTTGTCAATTCAAAATAGGCAGTGAGACACACTAGTTAGATGTTTCAGATAACAAACAAATTGACTTAGGGAGACAATTTGAAAGGATTATGGCAAAGGAAAAGGCTGCTGCAGTAGGAGTAGGAAGACTCAACTTAGGGAACAGCCTAACAGTATGATCTTAAGAGAGTCTTTTATAACGAGTAGTGAACAAGACTGGGAAGGAGAGAAACTTAACCAAAGTTTGATTAGCGCACATTTTTTCCAGCCCTATTGAGGTATCATTGACAACTAAAATTTGTCTGTCTTTAAGCAAAAATCTTTTAAATAATGGGTATTTTTTCTTTTTAAAGATTTTTAAATGCAGTACTTTTTTCTTAGATCCTTGATCATTTTTGGAAAAAATATGATTTCTCCCCTCAGGCGTGGTCACATGATTCTCCCACCACCAAAGCACCCATAGGCCATCACCATAGTCCTTTGTGCTCTTCCCCCTGTTTTCACCCTTCCGCACCTCTTCCTTTGTCTGACCCTTTGTTTGGGTTGTCCATTGTACATGTATAAGTGAAACCATCCAGTATTAACTTTTTTCCTTCTGAATTTGCTTAGCATCAACCCTTCCAGCTCTATCCATGTTGCCGCAAATGGCATGAGTTTATCTTTTTTGATCACTGAGTAGTATTCCATTGTGTATATGTACCACATCTTCTAATAATGGATGTATTGTGATGTGATTATCACAGTCAAGCTAATTCTTCACCTCATACAGTTGCCTCTCTCTCTCTCTCTCTCTCTCTCTGTGTATGTAAAGAAAACAGTGAGTTCCACTGTGCTAACAACTTTCAAGTATATAATACAGTATTATTAACTATAGTCTCCATACCTTAACAAGCATTTTTTTCTTATTGATCAGTGAAAATAACTGGTTCTGTTAATCAATTAAGAGGCAAAAAATGGGGGGCTGGTGATCTGTGTCTTAGGTAAACTGGGGGCCATCTGTGAATCTTCTCGAAGACTTATGGGGAAGGGAGAAGGAAGTGTCTTTTGCAGTAAGCTGTTTCCTCAAGCACAGAGGGTGGTGTGGAGAGATTCCTGAAATATTCTGGAACCAACTAGGTGTCCAGGGTGCTAATAAAATTTAACATTGCCAGGAGCACAGGTTTGGAGTGAGTCCTAGGGTGGAGGCTGACTCTACCCTCTGCTAGCAAACCTTAGACATTCTCCTAACCTCTTAGTGTTTTTGTCTCCTAAGTCAAAAATGGGGAAGATACTTTTTTACTTTGTAGACTATTAAGGGGAATAGATGAGATAAAGTGGTAACATAGTACCTAGCTCTTGGTAATATTCTTCCACTCAAAAACCTTCCATGGATCCCCACTGTATAATAGGTAAACTAACTAAAACGTATATGCCTGTTTTATTAAAATGTTGTGTGCAAAGGTTGGATGGGAGACTAGGGGAAAAGCCGCCCTAATTCCAGACCCAGTCTTCAGTATAACCTCGAACCTAGTGCCTTAGCTCCAGGGCCTCTGCGTTTCATCTCACCCATCCAAGGGCCTTCCCTGTTCTGGCCTTGTCTTTAGTCTCTGAGCTTGGTGCTCTCCTAGAAAGCTCCTCCTAGATACCAGACTCCTATTCAGAAAATGAGATCAAAGACCACAAAGCTCTGTTTAAAAAAAAAAAAAAAAAAAGCCTAAAATGACCGGGGAGGGGCCTCACAGAGGACGGGGGACAGGTGGGAGAGCTTCACTAATCAAAGTCTGAGCCAGATCCCACCATTGAGAGAGAAAGGGATTTCATGGTTTGCCTCTTGACTTTTCTGTCTTGTCAGTCTGACCTCAAATTCAGCAGTACTATAGTAAAAGTTAAGAATATTTCAGTGATGTGTGATTTGGATAGAAATAGCATGATAAGATGTTCTGAACTGATACCAGACCACAAGTAATGTCAGTTCTGTGAATGGACAATTTGTGAACCCAAATCTACTTCTGTCTTCCAGAGGCCAACCTTGCTTTGATAGGCTGAGGCTTTCCTCTGCATTAATTTATCCCAAGGCCACTTAGTTTTTCCCTACAGAGATTCTTGGGATGTTTCCTATTTAATAACAGTCCTGTTATTAAGTTCCCTTGCAACATTGCTTTCATTAAACTAGAGGCCTGGGCTACTAAAATTTGAATGCTGCTGGGTCACCGTCCATTTACTCATGTGTTTGCTTTTTTTTTTTAAATAGGTGACAGTTTTTAATTTTTCAATTTATATTTGTGTGTGTCTGCATGCTTTTGAGTTTTTGTTCATTTTTTTTTTCTCATACAGCGTGAACTATATTTAGGCCTGGGATTCAGTTATTTTTTAAGCTCAGAGTTTTCTTATATGATATCTTTTTAATTAATTGTTTGTTTGTTTATATGGTGGCTCAGGCAGTTGAGCACAGCACTGTGAAGCTCTCCGCAGTCTCTGCAATGCCGGTTTGATCCCCACCGGCCGTGGAGCAACCCACATGGCACGGCAGACCTCGCCTATCTCACCCACTGCTCCCCTCAGCAGTGTATTTCAGTCAGTCTGCCTGTTCTATTCCCCACTCTGTCTCTGGTGAATCCTCTCACCCTCCTGCACATCTGGCCTGTACCGCGGTTCTTGTATAAATAAATAAATCTTTAAAAAATGTATTTATTTATATAAGGGATCATGATCAGTCAAATAAGCCAGAAGGAAAAAGGAAAATACTGGATGGTCTCACTTAACACCAGGAATGTAGAAGATCCAAATAAGGGATCAGGGAAAAAAACTAATTATAATAAAATGAAAGTCAAAATCAACAGGCAGCTATAAACCAGAGACATACTACAGGGGGAAGAAGGGAGTAGGATCAAAACAGGGGTGGGAAGAGCACAAAGGAACATGGTGATCGATCACGGGTGAATGGGTGGTGGGAATTTTATGGGGACTATAACCAAGATGAAAATAAATACATTGTACAAAAATGAAAAATGGTGTAAAAATATATGAAATAATTAAAAGTAAATAAATAATACTCATGTGTTTTGAAGCCAATCTGTTTATTGTCACTTAGAACCTCACTGGTAGAGAAGGGACAGGTGATGTCAGGGGCTACCAGTTGTTTCACAGGGGCCTGACATTTTATCAATAGATCCCATTTTTCTGTTTGGTTTTCTTTATAATTTTTTTTCTCAGTGTCAGCTTTTAAAACTTTATTAGAAGCATTTGGAAAACACAAGATATCCTTAAGGATAAAACAATAGTGATCCAGAGTTAATCACTCTTCACACTCTGATTTGTTTATTCTCAGACTATGGTTTTATCTTTTTTGTGTACTTCGTAATTTTTATTATAAAAATACAGTTTATTTCCATTAACAGGTGGAGGACTTTTAAGATTGCTAGATGTTGGGTTTCTGCGTTCTGGCATTGGCCTGTATTAGCTAGGCAATGCTGGAGAACAAGCCACTCCTCAGCCTCAGTGGCTTATCACAGCAATACTACACTCTAGGTGTGCAGGTGGCTGCAGTGTGAGCTTGGCTGACTCGGCTGAATAAGCTGGACTGCAGGCTTTTGCTCTGCTTTGTGTCTGGTCTACACATCACATTTTAGGGCCTTGACTGAAGGATCAACAGCTCTCCGGAGCACGCTCTTCTCTTGGCAGAGTGTCCCTGGTGGAAGCTTATCCTGCCTCTTAAGGCCTTCACTCACAATTGGGACACTGCCATTCTAGCTACATCCAGTTGGCCAAGGCAAGTCACCCGGCTATGCCTTGAAGCCAGCAAGGTGGGAAGAAATCTCTCCTGAGGCCCCTGGTGTACTTGCTTGCTAGGGCTGCCTTGACAGACGCCACCGACTGGGGACTGGAACCATTGCAGTCTATTGTCTCAGCACTTCTGGAGGCTTGATGTCTGCGATCAAGATGTCAGTCAGGCTGGTTTCTTCTGAGGTGTCTGTTCTTAGCTTTCCATGGCTGGTTTCTTTCTTTGTCTTCCCATGATGTTTCCTTTGTGTGTAGTTGTGTCCTAACATCTCCTTATAGAATCAGTAGATTGAACTGCAGCCCACCCTAATGACCTCACTAAACCTTAAATATCTCTTTAAAGACGCTGTTCCAAACTTACAGTCACATTCTGAGATACTAGGAATTAAGACTTAAATATACAAATGGGAAGAGGCACAATTCATCTTATAATACTTAGTAGGGATAGGGAAAAAAGGAAGAATTGTTGACCAAGGATAACCTCAGCACTTCACGGCAGCCCCCTCATCTTTAAAACAGGGACAGGTATCTCTGTGTTAAGGGTTTGTTAGGGATTGAATGACAAAAGGCATATAAAGCTCTAGTAGTGGCAGTGTCAGGGATGAATGGGATTCTGTCTCAAATGGAAGGACCCCAGCTTGCTTTTGGGGTCTGTCTCTCCAATCTTCTCTCATGTGGGCAAGCTGGGCATATATGGTGCTTCTTATAATTGCCTGAGAATAGGTGGAATCTTCATCACAAAACCAAACGCACTTTTTAGGTGCTCAGTCTATGGCCTTAGTAACACCATGCTCCCACCGCAAGCTCTGGCCTCCACATCCGCCTTTTACCACAGATATTTATTGAGGCCCTTCTGTTGCTTAATAGGGCTGTGGGCTTTGTATTGGCTCTCAAGGTACTGTAGTCGAATGCCCGTGAAGAAAATTGAATAGCAGGTCAGGTTAGGGCATGTTTCTCTCTCTGCCTTTGTGTTTAGAGCCAACTGTCTGCCCTTTGTAAATCTCTTTTTGGTTTTCTCTCCTAGACTGTTGTGCTAAGGAATGGTACTGAGACCTTTGACACCTGGAAAAATCCCCCTCTGCCTGTGTATATGCAGTTCTATTTCTTCAATGTCACAAATCCAGAGGAGATCCTCAGAGGAGAGATCCCCCGGTTAGAAGAAGTGGGACCATATACCTACAGGTAAGTCCTGCCTGCCTCCTTCCAGAAATATGGTGAGACCCTACTGTGGCCTGAGTCCTCCTGTCTTCCTGAGAACACTCTCTGCCTACTGGTGGGGAGCACGGGTTTTGTTTACATCTGTCTGAAATGTTGCTGATCTTTGGTACATGCATGTGATACTTCAACAAAGAATGGCTTTGTGATGGGCCCAGTCATTCTATTATGTTTAGAAATGCAGCTGCTCCCCCTGAGTTGGCAGAATATAGTTATTGAGCCATGTAGAGCTGTTCCCCAAACCCTTTCCTTTTAAGATGACCTCTTGTTTTTCTTTTCTTTGGTGACTTTTAGGTCCTTCCCCTATTTTCTGACCCATATACCTAGTTTTAGACCATTAATTCTGCCTCTAAATCCTCCTCCCACCCCTCCTGAGTCTGAGAGATAACCCGTGGCAGAGTGGATTAAAGTCGTTGGCAGTTAGTGGCCACCAATTCCAAATGCTGGTGAGTTTGGAGAATTGCTTTAGTCATATTTTAAAAGCTTAGTAGAGGAAGGCACTTGCATTTCCCCTATTGCAGTGTTCCCGTACCTCCCAGCAATACTATTTGCAATAAAATATCTCCTTATTTTAAGAAGTAGAGGAAAAAAATAGGGGAAGCAGGCAGTAAGATCTTTCTTCTTCAAAACTGCTAAATGGTAAAATTGCATCATGATTCCAACGTAATTGATTGCTCAATAACTGGTTGCGAATGGATTTATTATGAGTCAGCGAGTCACCACTATTCTCAGTACTGGAATTCAGTGATAAAATCCTGGTTCCTGCCCCAGGTGCTTATGCTCTGGCTCTAGAGAGTTGAATTGCCTGTTTCGAATCCTGCCTCTACCACTTACTGATATACATATATATGCATAGATAAGATTTCTTATCTATAAAGCGGGAATAAAAATAGGACCTCCACCACAGGATTGTTGCAAGGATTCAATGAGTCAATGAGTCAATATTTATGAAGTGCTTAGATTGGTGCCTACCACATAATTGGTGCTAGTCAAGTGATTGCTATATTATTATTATTAGTCTTAGTGGATTATCTTTGTATAAATCAATATCCAGATTTGGCTCTGTTATACATAGGAATCTTAAAAAAAGTATGGGCCTTCATTTTAAAAAAGCACTTTTATATGTGTTCAGGGACAGTTAGATGTTTGTTTGTTTTACAGTTTGGCCATTTTTTAAATTGTGATTTTAAAAAATCATATGAAATATGTCACCTTAACCATTTTTCAGTGTACAGTCCAGTAGTTAAGTATCTTCACATCATTGTGAAACAGATCTCCAGAACTTTTGTATCTTGCTGATCTGAAACTGTTTACCTGTTAAATGACTCCTCCCCATTCCCTATCTCTTTCCACCAGACCAATGTTCACGGTTGTGTCCTATGGCAGTCCGTTTTCCCCTCTGGGAGATTCTGGCTTTGTTTTACTACAATCTAACACTGAATGTCTGCATGAGGTGAGCCCAGGGTCTTCACTCTGCCACCATCTTGCGAGACTCTCAACTTCCCTTTAAAACAGATTCTTCTAGGACCTCCCAGGTGGCTCAGCGGTTGAGCGCTGGGTTGCAAAACTGCCCGCAGCCTCTGCAGTGCCGGTTCAATACCCAGCCACTGGGTGAGGGTCCCACCTGGCGGGCAGACCTCTCCTGCCGCCCACTGCTCCCCTCAGCAGTGTATTTCATCAGTCTGCCTGCTCTGCTCTCCCCTCTGGCTCTGGTGAATTCTCTCACCCTCCCGCTCTTCTGACTGTACCCAGCGCTTGTATAAATAAATAAATCTTTAAAAAAAACAAAAAACAAAAACAGATTCTTCTAGAAGGAATTATGCTCAGTGAAATAAGCCAGAAGGAAAAAGAAAAATATCAGACGGTTTCACTTATAGCAGGAATATAGGAGAACCCAATAAGACATCAGTGTTAAAAATAGTAATAATACAAAACACAACAAAGCAGAACCAGACTATTATAAATCAGAGACATCCTGCAGGGGAGGAGGCGGGAGAGGGATCAGAGGGAGGGAGGAAGGAGCACAGGGGACTGAGGTGATGGTGCACGGGTGCATTGGGGAAGGAAACTTTATGGGGTCTACACCTGAGGGGGTGGGGGGATGCAAATATTGTTTAAAAAATAAAAAATGATGTAAAAAATAGAATAATAAAAAATATGACAAAAAGGAAAATAAATAAATTAGACGCAGTTGGAGAGTAACAATAATAATTTATAAGAAAATATAGAATATTTTAACAATGTATTGTAATAAAAGTTATGTGAAGGGCCTCCCCTGGTGGCACAGCAGTTGAGCTCTGGGCTGAGAGACTGCCTGCAGCCTCTGCAGCGCTGGTTCATTCCCTGGCTGCCGGCGAGGGTCCCACAAAAAAAAAAAAAAAAAAAAAAGTTATGTGAATATGGAAAAAAAAAAAAAAAGGTTCTTAGAGGGTAAACTGTAAAGAAAACCTTTTAAAATTAATTTCTAAAGTCAGTAAACATAAACAAACATTGAAGCAGGCTGTAGGCTTGGGATTATTCAGGATACTAGGGTTAATGAAAAAGCAAGAAAAGCATAAGCAAAGTTATGGATTTTCATTATTCATCAGAAAATGTGGCAAAGTTGAACTCTGGATTTCTGGAACAACATTGAGTTCCAGCTCTTGGCTCCCTGGCTTGCTTTCTTTGAAGTGCAAATTGGTGTTACCCTGGTGCCACTTTTTCTACTTCTAAATGCCTTAGTGTTCAGTTTGTCCAGCCTAGGATCCCGCGCCCCTTTACGAACAGCTATTATGCCTGAACAAGTCTGCCATCCTCATCTTCACTAGGGAGCTCCGAAGTGGAAGTGGTAGAGACAAAGCCCCTCTCTACATGCACCAGCCCTAGCTGAGGCAGGGATTTGGCTTTAAAATTTTACCTCCTCCAGCTCCTAACAAATCTACCTCTTAATGTCTGTGTAGCATCACGGAAATCCTGGATGTGAAGTCAGGAGAACAGGATTCTACAACTAGTTCTGACACTTCCTGATTCATCCTGGGCAGTTATTTTATCTGAACCTCTGTTTTTCAGAACTGAGTTATTTTGATGTGAGGGTTCTTTGATTGCAAGGAAGAGAAACTACCTGTGGCTAATTTCAGTAAAAAAGAAAATTTATTTGAAGGTTATATGATGCAGAGGAAAGGGTACTAAGTATGAATTTGAAGATCTGGGTCCAAATTCTGACTTTTCTGGTACCCTATGTCCCATCAGTAAAAGTGAGACAAAAATACTTGCTCTCTCTGTGTAACAGCTTGTTGTGAGGATTAAATGAAATGAAAGGTTTAACCCTTTCAAGAGCTATGTGTCAGATATGCATATGGCTCTGCAGAGCTGGGTGCTTGGTGCTAAGAAGAAATATCCATCTCTTTTTATGCATTTCAATGTATAAAATGCATTTTTATGTATTTTTATGCATTTCAATGTAGGTATTTATTATTTGGTATCTGTTTTTATTTTAAAGTCTAGAGGGATTTAAGAAGTACACTGATTTCTTTAGCTTGTTTTTAGTCTACCTGGGGCTTCAAGATAATTCCTTCACAATCTAAATGGTGTCACTCAGCAATTGATAATAGTGCCCAAGGCCTGGTACAGATAGTGATATCCACAGGGGTCAGGGGGTCAGCCCCTATGTGGGGCTGTAGTGGCAGAAGGCCTTGAGAAAAGCTGCCGAGTAGCCCTGTCAACAGATGCCTTCCCGCCTGTGCTGGAATTATAAACTCTTAGATGAGTTCTGTCCAACAGAAATATGAAATCACATATGTAATTTAAGATTTTTCTAGTAGCCACATTAAAAAAAAAAAAGGAAAAGCCAGTAGAATTAATTTTAATGGTATATTTCATTTAACTCATTATATCTAAAATATTTCAATATATAATGAATATGAAAAGTTTAGAAGATAATTTTTTTTGACTTTTTGAACCTGGAATGTATTTTACTATGATAATACATCTCAGTTCCAATGAACCACAATTGAAGGGCTCAATAGACATGGCCACTGTGTCAGACAGCACAGCCCAGAGGGAACAAGAGAAGGAAAGGTAAACAGGGAGAGAATGAATAGACCCTGGAATTGAGTATTATCAGGTATGGACTGGCAGAGCCAAGAGTAACATGAGGTGGTAACCAAAATATCAATTCTATTTTTATTTAAATTTTTGACACTTTAAATTTTTTCCTTTAATTTTGACTTAAAAATTGCATTAAAATATTAGTCATCTTAATTACTGTTTTGACATCTTCAGCTCCAACTCCGTGCACAAGGCAAGGTCCCAACCCTGGCACCAGTCTCAGACCTAATGTACCTGGACCATGTATCAAAACCAGGGTGAACTCTTAATTCACTACACCATGGGCACTCATTTTGTTAAATGAATTTTCAACTGAATTCAAGTTAGAAATAAAAATACATTGATAGGGACCTCCCTGGTGGCGCAAAGGGTTGAGTTTCAACATTATGAAGCTATCAGCAGCTACTGCCACAGGAGTTTGATACCTGGTCAGGGAGCTACCCACATGGCACAGCAGACCTTTCCTGTCTCTCCCATTGTTCCCCTCAGCAGTGTATTTCAGTCAGTCTGCCTGTTCTGTTCCCTGCTCTGTCTCTGGTGAATTCTCTCACCCCCCATACCTCTGGCCTGTACCCTGGTTCTTGTATAAAAAAAATAAATCTTTTTAAAAAAAATGGTGCCTATTTTCAAACAACATCCTTTTCTTTCTTTTAGGGAACTCAGAAACAAAGCAGATATTCAATTTGGAGATAATGGAACAACAATAACTGCTGTTAGCAACAAAGCCTATATTTTTGAACGAAACCAATCTGTTGGAGATCCCCAAATTGACTTAATTAGAACAATAAATATTCCTGCAGTGGTAAGTAAGCATTTTAAATATAATTGTTGTGGATTTTATGAGAAAAGAAAGAGCTAGGATAAGACTATTATGGTTTAATATTAGAATCCATTAAGCTACATTAAAAATATACATAAATAAGGACCTCCCCCATGGTGCAGCGGTTGAGCGCTGGGTTGCGAAGCTGCCAGGAGCCTCTGTGGCGCCATTTCGATCCCCGGCTGCTCCCCAGCCACCGGAGGAGGGTCCCGCATGGCGCACAGACCTCTCCTGCCGCCCGCTGCTCCCCTCAGCAGTGTACTTTGGTCCTTCTGCCTGCTCTGCTCCCCGCTCTGGCTCTGGTGAATTCTCTCACCCTCCCGCACTTCTGACTGTACCCAGTGCTTGTATAAATAAACAAAATCTTAAAAATAAAAAAAAGGAAAGAAAAAGACTGCCCTAAAAAAACTGAAGAAATGAAAACTGACAGCGCAGGAATAAATTCAGCATAAAATAAATAAAAAGTAAAGGCAGACAGAAAAAAAAAATATATATACACATAAATAAGACAAATAAATTTTTCCCTCCTTTTAAAATCTTTTTTCTTTACTTTTTAATTTTTAAATTTCCTTCCTTTCCTTAAAGGTCACTTAGATTGTTTTTCTCTGCGGTCTTTTAATCAAGGTCTTTTGAAATTAAGACAAAATCAAATTTTAGGGTTTTGTTTCCCAGTTTCTTGCTTTGTGTTCAGGGCAGCCTTTGTGCAAATAAACTTATCCTTAAGATTTTTGGAGGGTAGCTAATTATTTTAAAAATACTTATTTGCTCCTTATTTTGGTCCAGAACCTCTAGCAATAGAATTTGTATACCACTTATTAGTTTAGATTTCTGTCTTGGATTCTAAAATTCACAAATATGTGTTGACTCTTTCCCCCTTTCCAAATAAGCTTTCCAAATGAGCCCTTAATTACAATCTAGCCTGATCTCATTGGACTCTGTCTCTAATGCAATTTCTTGTAATAATGGCACCCTTGAGACCCACCTATACCAGCACCGTCTGAGGCTCCCACTCTAACTCTTAATTGACCAATTCATATGTCCCTGGCCACTCTTAGTGGACCCAGGATTTAGAAAGTATTAGATGCCAGATTTAGCCCTTACAGTAAGTTTCCAACCTCTGGCCCAAAATCAAGAAGAAGGTGGTGCCACCTCGTGGCCAAACATGCCAATGTATTTACAAGAGCTTTTTCCTTTCTCCTGAACTGTGGCTATCACTGAATTGCATCTAAGGATACTAAGCTCACACTTAACAAAATATAAGACTGAGAAAGGATATAACTGAAGAGTCATATTCTTGCATGTGCAGCCAGAGAGGCGCTCACTGGCTGAATTTTCAGCTATGTGATTTCAGTATTTTCACTTAGCTATAGTCTAATTTCATTGGGTTCTGTCTCTAATGCAATTCCATCAAATAATGACACCCTTGAATTTCAGTAGTTACATTTGCTAAGGGTGCTGTGGGAGCCAGTGGGGATGGGGGCATGCTATCTGAACCTGCTTTTGCTCCTCAGACCGCCATGGAATGGTTCAATAACCACTTTCTCCGGGAGCTCATTGAGGCCCTGTTGAAGGCCTATCAGCAGAAACTCTTCGTGACACACACCGTGCATGAGCTACTGTGGGGCTACAAGGATGAGATCATGTCTCTCATCAATATCTTCAAACCTGAGATCCCAGCCTATTTTGGCCTATTCTATGGGGTAAGTGATGTTTTTTCTTTTCAGAGCCTCAGTTTAACAACTGGGGGGTGGTTACCCCAAGCCAGACTTCATCTTCACTCTGGGTTTCTTCTAGGAGACCAGAGTTGCTTGGAGTTCTAGATGAGTTGTAAAGTAAATGAAAAATAAGGAAATGAAAATATCTCAGTAGGGAAAAAAAAACTTCCACAATTTCAACACACTGTCAGCACTGACTGTGGATGAACATAGCTTTGAAAACACGTGAAGTGTTTTCAAATGGCCATTAATCAGCTCTGCAGGATACTTTGTAAAGTATCACAGATCAGTGATTAATACTGAGTTTCATTTCAAGGACTTGGGGACCTGATGAGACAAATGAGAAATTAAACAGGGATGTTTAGTTAGGGGTGGGAGCTACTTGTTAGATTTTCAGACATGACATCTGTGATAATTTGAGCTCTATGCGTCCCTCATCTATCATTCCTGGGAAGTAGAATTTTGTGCTCTTCCAGAGGATTTTATTTTTTTTTTTACTTAAAACCAGAATATCAGTATTCAGATAATTCTTATTCTAAACCTAGGTTTTTGCTGCCTGAGTTTCAAATGGATTAGAATGAAAAGCAGTACAAGTATCCACATTATCATGATATCTATATTGTTGAGAGGTTAGTAAGTGCCCAACTTGAAGAAGAAATCATGATGAGTTTCCTCATCTTTAAATATGTAGTTATTCTCTAAACTACTCAAGCGTCTCACCCTCATCATAGAATCCCTGGGCCTTTCAATTCCTCTGGAACAAATGGTGGGAATATTGTCCCTGTGCCTTCAAATCTATGCAAAAACTGGGAGTTGTTCAAACAAATAGTAGCAATTTTTTCACATTATCTGTGCAAGAGACAGAGTTCTGGTTGTAGGGTCCCGCCAACTCTAAATCCTTCACACTGGTGAGCAGACCCAATAGATGTTCCTAGAAGGTCCTAACCCAGTTCCCTCAGTACCAGGAAGCACTACTCTTTTATTAAGCTGTAACTAGCCATCCCTTCTAGCAGTAGCTTCAGAGAATTTCTAACAGAGAGATTCAAAGCTTCCCTCAAGGCTTTTCTGATCCAGTGGCTTCCGATCATCTGCCAAGCAGTTCTGCCAACACATCAGGAAATCCAGGAACTTTTCAGTATTTCTCATATCAATTTCATCTTATATCTTGCTTTTTTGGGTTTTTACATCATTGACCTCATCAGACTTATAGCTAATATCTTTCATATATATATATATATATATATATATATATATATCTTTTTAAAATGTAGCCCACATTTATAGAATGGTGAGCAAATTGTCATTTTCACTTTCCCAAGGCAAGGATGTGTGAGTTTATTTAATTTTTTCCTTCTTTGCCTTTCTTTACAAGCTCCACTGTAGCTCTACAAGGCCCCACGAGTGAAAAGTCCTATAACATTGTTCATTTAGGTTAATACCTTGAGTGGATTTCTCACACCTAGGAAAGGAACATGAGACTTTGAACCAGAGAGACTGGATTAGCATTCTGATATATTTCATTTAATAACTAGAAGACTTTTTTTGAACCTCAGTTCCATTGTTTGTAATTGAGGCTAAAGGTACTCATACTTTAAGCAGTTTTGAAAGGCTAAGTGAGAAGACTGTAGACATGGCTTTACAGAATGGAGGGATTGCAATTGTATGGGGAATATAAAAATAAAATTTATTAATTAAAAAAAAAATTAAAAGGTCTGTATTAACATTGACAATGGTGAAAAATAAAGGATATATATTAACTTCACTGCTGTTAAAAATTAAAGGGAAAATGATTACATCTGCATCAATAATTGAAAAAAAATTATAAATTGTAATATACATTTCAGTAACTGTTGTTCTTTTCTGACTCAAAAAATGACCCTGAATTAATATGAATGATTGGTTTGTTTCTCTTTTGGGGCCAAATAAACTCCCTGTAGTGTATTGGTAAAAGACAGAGTCTTTCTTTGGTTTTTCATCTGCTCTGGCTAAATACTGACTATGGCCTGTGGGATAAAAGTTCACTTATTCAAAGACCAGGATAGTCTGTGGGGGTGCATATCTTCTCCAGCACCCCTGCTTCTGCAATCACCTAAGTCTGGCCTCAAATCTTTCCTCAGTCCTGGTGGCCTGTGTGCCTGTTCTGTCTGCTCCATTCCATACTGGATTAAAAAAACCACTTTAGTTAATACTGTAGAACACTTTTCTCTCAAACATTTAAAGATGGGCCCAAACAATGTGGAGGCAGCGTGTAAGGATGAATAGGATGAGGAGTATTGGCACAGAACTCTTGAGAAAAAAGTGGCCCAGTTGAGTATCAGATGCTCTTATATGCATATTACAACACCAAGCAACATCTCTCCACCTGTTGATTTTAGGGTACCTCTATTGGCATAAGAGAGTAATGAGCTCAGTGACTATGGGTTCTTGGATGTAAAAATTAGAGCTGTTGGAAAGCACCTTGGAGAGCTCAGATGGTCCAGTGATCCCACCGGCCATGGGCAATGCTTACCGAGGCTGGTGGTGTGAATGTGATGTAGTCTTGTTCTCAGGTGTCTATATGAAAGAACATTTTCAACTTCCCACAGTAATATGTTTCTGTACTCAGCCTGCATCCCTAGTGCAATTCATAAAATCTTTTTATTCCTTAAAATGAACTGATTGTAAGTGCTAATCACATGTACAGAATACACAAACATCTAGACTGGTTTGACCAGACAACTAAGCATCATAGCCTAGTCAAGTTGACCTACAAGATTAATCATCACATAGAGTTTCCATAAAATCCAGCAATTACATTCCTACATATTTACCCAAAGGACACAGAAACATCAATTCCAAACAGCACCTGCACCCCTGTGTTTATAGCAGCACTATTTACAAATAGCTAAGCTTTGGAAACAACCCAAATGCCCCAAAATAGATGACTGGATCAAGAAGATGTGGTACATATACACCATGGAATATTACTCAGCATTCAAAAAAGATAAACACATGCAATTTGCAGCAACATGGATGGCGCTGGAAGGGATCATGCTCAGCGAAATAAGCCAGAAAGAAAAAGAAAAATACCGGATGGTCTCACTCATAGCAGGAATCTAGAAAACTTAAATAAGGGACCAGGAAAAAGAATAACTATAAGAAAGTAAAAATCAAAATCAACAAACAACTATGAACTAGAGACACACTATGGGGTGGGCGGGGAAAGGAGGGTGTGGGGTCAGTATAAGGGGGGGTTGCAATTGTATGGGGAATATAAAAATAAAATTAAATTAATCATCACAGTTGTTCTAAATGATTAATGTTCACTTGTTTTCAGAAAAACGGGACCAATGATGGAGATTATGTTTTTCTAACTGGAGAGGACAGTTACCTTAACTTTACAAAGATTGTACAATGGAATGGAAAAACGTAAGTCTAATGATTTATGACTAATTATTTTTTCAGTTTTCATTTGAAATGAATGTTTGCTTCTACATTATTTTAAAACATATTTCAACATTCACTTTTGGATTAAAAGATCTATAAGTGTGTAAAATGTCTTTAACATTATTTCATAAATCAAATTGAAGTAACATTCTTTACAAATTAAATATTAATGATTTGTAAATTTATCTTGGCTAGACATGAATTATCAGACAGTGAAAAGTCCCATTCTCCCACTTAATAATGACTTAATGATGTGTGTCTACAGCACAAATACTTTTCAGATTGCTACTTGTTTTTTAGAGAAAGAATTTCTCTTTTTAATGTTGTGGTGTAGATTGTTTATTTTTCTTTAAAAATTTGTATTATAGCATCTCAAAACATCTTTATTTTAATATTTATAAGCAACTTCAAAAAGGAGCTGAGGTAAAACTACAAGTAAAACAAGGTAACTTTTTTAAGTAAGAGAAATTAGAAACCTTTAAGAAAAAAGGAAGCTAATTCTTCAAGGACTGCAGTAAGAGATGTTCTATTTTTTGGCAGTAACTTCTAAGCTTCCCAAAAATACAGGCAAAAAAACTGGAGTGGAATATACAGGAAGTCTTTGTATTATCGTCACAATTTTTCTATACAGCTAAAACTATTTTTGACCAAGAATATTTAAATTTTAAAAACATAAATATCTATATATCCACATACATAAACATGTTTATGCACACACACCCCTCCCCAAATGTATAAGTTCTTTGAGAAAGTATGTAAGAAACTGGCAACTTTGGAGGGGAAACTAGCTGATATAAATATGGTACGTATGGTATATAAACATAGCATAAATGTTTCTGTACATGGATATTTATCCTTTTTAAAATTTCAGTATATTATTATGTCATAAGTGTATCAATAATTGCAATGTGTATATTAAAACATTAAAGTAGTAAAAGACTGGAAAGAAAGTAACAGATTGAGTTTAAATCCAAATGATTTATTCAGGTTGGCTCCTGGACGTACTTTTAATCCAAAATCTCACTTTTTTCTTAAATTTGGGAAAATGTTCAGAAATTATTTCTTAAGTTACTGATTCTTTGTTTCACTCTATTCTCACTGCCATCCCACTCCTGAATTGCAGTAAAATATGGGAGCCCTTGATCTAATCTCTGTATCTTGGTCCTTTAATCTTTAATCATTATGAGCTTATATTTATATAAATTTAGTGTTACCTTCCAATTAACCAATTCCTCCCCAACTATGTATAGTCTAGAGTTTGTCCCTATATTGAGTTTTTCTTTTAAGAAGCTATTTTTATTCCTAAAATTTCTATTTTCCCTTTTGTATTTCCTTGTTCTCCAGTTTTTTCCTTTTTATTTTGAATAATTTATCCTTTTCTAAAAATGTAATTCTTTCACTTGTCTCTTTGAAGATACGAAACCACATATTTATTTATCAGGTTATCTAATTATTTTAATTCTTCTGAACTGGGTTCTTCTCCTCATTGTTGATTTTGTTGCCTGCCTCTTAGCATGTTCCCTTTTTTTAAAAAAAAATACTGATTTGCAGAATTATTTTAATTGGGAAGTCACTCTTATTTATCTGTGTTCTCTTCTCTTTCTCTCTCCTCTCATTTCTCCCTGTGTCACAGTTTTGCAGTTATCTCCACGTACCTAACCCTAGAGCCCCTAGTCCAGAACCATAACTGGAGGATCCCCACCCAGTTATGTTGGGGTAGACACAGACTCAGCCAAAGAGGCAGTAGCAGCTTGACTGAGGTTCCAGCTGGGGGTCTGAGTCTTAGTCTTCCTGCCTCCCAGTCTCCCAGCTGCATATTTATCTCACTTCCAACAGCAGATAGAGCCTGCTTTCTTTTGCCTTTTGTGGTGAACAGGGAACTTCCAGCCCCGTCCCCCCCCACACCCCAGGTCCTGATTCCAAGCTCTTGGTGAGCCTCTTTTAATCCCTCTTAACCTTAGGAGCTGAACTCCTAGTTCTTTCTGCTTACTTCCACATTTGCAGCCAAGTGGGTCAGTAACTTCATTTCTACTCACACTGTATTTATCATCATTGTATTGTCTAGGGAGATGTTTGTATTTGAATGAAGTGTAGATCTTCCTTTTCTTTTCTTTTCTTTTTTTGACAAAGCAAAGACATTTATTGCAGGAACATTCTCAAATCACATTGGAGAAGATGACTTTCTAAATGTTGTGTTTTATCAACTCCTGCTCTGTGTTTTTACATTGAAGGGGCCCTCAACTAATGCCCAGAAGTTGAGAGTGACTACTTATTAATCATCCTTTCTTTTCTTTTGCATTGTGTACTATATTCCAAAAAATTAATAAAGAAAACCCTCTAACTCAATTTTTAGGGAGTATGGAGTCGATTCAACATTAAGCTTTTTAGTGATCCAAGAGATCTCGTCATTAATTTTGGAAGAGAGAACTGGTCCAAAGGGAGACAGAATTGTTGATCTGTCATGAATACTAAAGACCCAGACAGATCTACCCAGAGTACACCTATCAGTGAACTGACTGTAAACAAATCTATTGTGACTGCTAAATTGGATCCCTACTTTAAGAAAATGCATTTTTCTAAATCTCTATGTAAAAAAAAAATTTTTTTTTGGATGAAGGAGTGATTTTTGGCTACTGCCTCTACCAAAACTGAGGATCAGGGGCCTAATTTTTCCTCTTTTTCCATTCCCTACCCAACACCACCCTTTAGCTGCATGCCAGTGAGATTCCATGGGTAGACCTCTCCCAGTGAAATCCTGAAAATTACTGACCATTTGAAAACATCTAAAATAAAATTTCATTGACTTGACTCTTTCTTGTGTTTCTCAATTACAGGTCACTTACCTGGTGGGCAACGAACAAATGCAACATGATTAATGGAACAGATGGAGATTCTTTCCACCCATTAATAACCAAAGACGAAATCCTTTATGTCTTCCCATCTGAATTTTGCAGGTGAAAACTCTATAAGTTCTTTGACTGTAAGACCACCAAAAATGTGAGGAATATATCCAGCTACCCTTATTAAGTGTGGCTATTCATGATTCATCAGTGGGAAATGATGATGGCATGTTGAGAGGGTCACAGCACCAACTCCAGAGCCTGACTGCACTATTTGAATACTGGTTCTATCACTTTTTTAAAAGATTTATTTTCATTTATTTATACATACAAGAACTGGGGTGTAGGCCAGAGGTGCAGGGGGAGGGGGTGAGAGGATTCACCAGAGAGAGTGGGGAGCAGAACAGGTGGATCTACTGAAATATACTGTTAGGGGGAGCAGTAGGCTAGACAGGAGTGGTCTGTTGCACCATGTGGGTCAGCTCCCTGGCTGGGGAGCAAACTGGTGCCGCAGTGGCTGGCCATAGCTTAATAGAACTGAGACTTTAACCCCTGTGCCACCAGGGAGGCCCTGGCTCTACCACTTTCACTTGTGCAAAATGGGAAAACTAATTAGCTACTCTATGCCTCATTTTCCTCATTTCTGCAATAAAGATAGAAATAGTTGCCTACTGTGGAGTTGTTATGTGGACAAATGAGTTACTGGTAACAAAATACTTAGCACAGAGCCTGTGCCACAGTAAGTAATATCAAATGTTGGTTTAATAGTTAATATGAATATTTAATATTAAACTTTAGTTTTTATCTGCCTTCTTCCACTCAATAAATAACCTCTATGTATAAGGTAGATTAGATCATACTGCTGTTCTTGTTTCAGCATTTATAGGTGTCTGCTTAGCTATAACCTTTGCAGTGATCATCTACTCTCTCTACCTCTGCGATCACTCCCACTCTCCCGCCTGCTCCTTCTCTACAACAGACATAACTAAGTCTCCTTATGGGAAGAAGGCATCCTGCTCTGCACCCTGATTTGCATCTCCCCATCATGCTTTTGCTACTCCCCTGCCCTTCATCCTCTAACTGCTTGAATGAGTGACTCAGTCATGCAGCCTCCTTTTCCTGTTCTACCCACTCACTCCTGCAGGGCTTTTAATGAAACTTTTCTCAGTCAGGATGACCTAGTCATATTTGACACCATTGATTCAATATTCTCAGGAATGACTATTCTTCTGGTGTTTCATAACTCGTATAATTAAGCTGCCTACCCAGCCAGCCATAAAGGATGACACTGTAAATCTCCTTCCTCTCCTGCATTTATTTAATCAGTCACCAGGTACCATTGATCCCTCCTCAGAAATAGCTTTTGAGTGTATCCACCTCTCCATCCCCACTAACTGTGCCATGGTTTCAACCTTTCCATCTCTCATACAGAGCATCACAGTCACCTTTTTTTTTTTTTTTTTGTGGGACCCTCGACCATGGCCGGGGAACAAACCGGTACTGCAGAGGCTGCGGGCAGCCTCGCAGCCCAGTGCTCAACCACTGTGCCACCAGGGGACGCCCCACAGTCACCTTTTAACTGGCTGACCTAGTCAGTAAATATTTGTGGAAGGATTGAAGGAAGAGAAAGTGCATTTGAGTGCAATGAATGAAACAAGGCACCTTAGCAGATAGGAGGGAGTCTTTAAAAAGATTTGGCAGAGGGAACACATTCTTACCTAGTACCACCCTTTGAATAAACATGGGCACTGTTCAGTGACAACAAGTATGTGCAGACTCCCTAAGTCTGCACTCTCCCACATAAGTGCTCTGGTAGGAGGGACCCTGTATATATATGCAGGGAGATATAGAAATGTTCATTGCAGCATTATTTGTCATACTGAAAAATGGGAAGCTATCTAAATGCCTATAAAAAGGAGAATATAAATAAGTTATGGTACACTATATGATGGAATATCATATAGGATTTAAAATATATAAGAACTAGACTAGTGTATATACATGTAATAAATCTTAAAAACATTGAACAAAGAAACAAATGACAGAGTATATGCTATACTGACTACATAACATTATTTAAAAACAGCAAACAACGCCATGCATTGTTTATGAACATGAAGGTTTGTAACAGTGCAGAGGCCTGCACTGAAATGATAAACCCTGCATTGAGGATAGTGGTTACCTCTGGAAACGCAGAGGACTAGAAGAACCAGAAGTGCTATGCAGAGAGCTTCTGCTGTGTCCATAGTATAGTTTTTATTTACCTGAGTGGTATTTGTTATAAAGCTTATTTGTAAAATTATTTTCTCTACTTTTTTCTTTGCCTATAATGTCACTTAAAAATGTTGTAAGGAGTAGGATGTGTAGCAAAAGGTAGCTTTCAGTCCTGTGAAAGCTGCATCCCACCTCTGGCCAAAGAGGACGAACTAATGCCTGGAAAACAACTCATCTCAACCTTCAAATGAAGGACTATTCAGTGAAGATAATGTGTGTTGTATACTTGTTATAATGTGTGTTGTATACTTGTTATGTGGGTACTCTGCAAATATAAGGGTAGTTTGTTCAAACTGAAGCTACTGCTTAAAATTCTGGAAGGACTGAAGGCAGAATTTTACAGAACTTCATTGAAATCAATGACTGGGGAAAATGTGGAAGCCATTTTTATTGGGAGAAATGTGTTTCAAAATGTCTGTTCTAACCAAATATCTATCTCGTGTGCACTATTCAAATCTTTAAAGAATCAACTAAATCAATCTTTTGCCTCTTCTGCTGCTGTTTGCTTCTTTTTTAAAATACTTACTTTCTTATATCATTGTTAATTTTGGGACAATATTTGATTTCTCCCTGTTGTTCTGTTACCACATAGAACCCATGACCCATCACCACGGTGCTCTTCCTTCCCTATTTTAGCCCCACTTTTTTCCCCTCACTTTCTGCATGTCTCAGCTCTATGGTCAGCTTGCAAGTTTTGTCTTTTTCCTGACCCTTTGTTTGGTTTCTCTATATTTCACATATAAGTGAAACCATTCAATATTTACCTTTTTCCTTCTGACTAGCTTTGCTTAGCATAATCCTTTCCGGCTCCATCCATGTTGCCACAAATGGTGTGAGTTTATCTTTTTTGATCACTGAGTAGTATTCCATTGTGCATATATACCGCATCTTCTTGATTCAGTCATCTGTTTGGGGGCATTTAGGTAGTTTCCAGATCTTAGCTGCTTTGCTTCTTCCTCACCCTCAATTCCCTTTGCCTTGCTTCTGCTTCATCCATGCTGGCATGGCTTCCTGCTTGTCTAAAGGACTCTTTTGTTTCTTTTTTTTTTTTTTTTTTAAAGATTTATTTATTTATTTATACAAGCACTGGGTACAGTCAGAAGCGCAGGAGGGTGAGAGAATTCACCAGAGCCAGAGCGGGGAACAGAACAGGCAGATCGATGAAATATACTGCTGAGGGAAGCAGCGGGTGGCAGGAGAGGTCTGCGCACCATGTGGGACCCTCTCCCGGCCGCTGGGGATCAAACTGGCACTGCCGAGGCTGCAGGCAGCCTGGCAACCCAGCGCTCAACCGCTGTGCGCTCAACCGCTGTGCCACCAGGGAGGCCCTCTTTTGTTTCTTTCAATGTGAGTTCCCATTCTAAGTGTCATCTTCAGGTCTCCCTGGTGGCACAAGGGGTAAAGTCTCAGTAGTATAAAGCTATCGGCAGCCACTGCAGCATGCGTTTGATCCCCTGCCTGGGAGCTGATCCACGTGGCGCAGCAGACCTCTCCTGACTCACCTGCTGTTCCCCTCAGCAGTGTATTTCAGTAGATGCAACTCTTCTGCTCCCCACTCTGTCTCTGGTAAATCCTCTCACCCCAAATCTCTGGCCTACAACCAGTTCTTGTATGCATAACTAAAAATAAATCTCTGGATGTCATCATCTTCATTTTCTGCTACACATAATTATTGTTTTTTTTTTCCCTTAGCTTTTTTTGGATACTAGCATAATTGTAACCTCCTTAACATATTTTATTATAATTCATCTTGTACTTTATTACATATTGAGTGGCTTGAGTGCCTTTCAAGTTTTCTTTTGCATCTTCATTTTCTGCTTATAAACTTTTAGCCATGTTGAACCTAAAACCCTTGCTAATTTACTGTTTCCAAGCAGATTGTGCTTCCTGGAACCCATATTGACATTTTATTCTTACTTCCTAACAGGTCAGTGTATTTAACTTTCAGTAAATACGAGAGTGTGGAGGGACTGCCTGCCTTTCGGTACAAGGTGCCTGAAGAAGCTTTAGCCAATAGCACTGAGAATGCTGGCTTCTGTATACCTGATGGAAACTGCCTGGGCTCAGGAGTTTTGAATATCAGCATCTGCAAGAATGGTAAGGACTCAGAGTGGATGTGAGCAATGGTGTCTTAAATGGCAGGATTAGTTTCTTCAACAAAGAATGTTGTCAGCCTAATAGAAAAAATGATTCTGACCTTTCAAGAATAATGCTTTATAATTTGGCTATAGAATGGTAAAAAATTTTTTTTCATAGAAAAATAAAAAGTGTATTGACTTTTCTATAAAGCTTTTTATTGCTAGAATGCCATGTTGTGTTTTTTTTCTGGACAGTAGTTTGGAAGTCTTAATGATAATAATAGTCTGTGCTCCTTGAGAACTCACACTTGTCACTGTTCAGCTAGTCACTTTTCTAAGTTGTTGGCATATTTACGTGTAGTTAATACAGGCAAGGCCTTAGCTGATTTCATATTCAAAACAACACTCAAGAAGAACTTAGTGAAAAGAGCATACATATCTTGGTAAATACGCTCATGATTTTATTTATTTATTTATTTATTTTTAATTTTCTAGAGGCATGTCTTATTTATTTATTTATTATTTGTTTGTTTGCTTGGTTTATACATGCACTGGGTACAGTCAGAAGCGCGGGAGGGTGAGAGAATTCACCAGAGCCAGAGCAGGGAGCAGAGCAGGCAGAAGGACCGAAGGACACTGCTGAGGGGAGCAGCGGGCGGCAGGAGAGGTCTGCGCGCCATGTGGGACCCTCCTCCGGTGGCCGGGGAGCAGCCGGGGATTGAACCGGCTGCAGAGGCTGCAGGCAGCTTCGCAACCCTGCGCTCAACCGCTGCGCCACCGGGGAGGCCCATGATTTTAAAACATAGTGTTAAACCCTGGCCACAAAGTTCCCAGTCACTCTGCTCCTTTCAAAGAAGAAGAATAATCAATGGTACAACAGCATTTTCTTTATCTTATACATTCATATTTAGCAAGTAGCATAATTATTCATGATAGCCTTGCTAGATAGATAGCCAGTGGTCTCCTTCTATAGTTGTGGAAACCAGAACTCAGAGGGGAAACATGATTTTTATGAAATAAATCCTTATTTCTAAGCAACTCCCTGTTAGAATCTAGTTACAACGATTTCATACTGTGATTCTTCTTAGGCTGCAGTTGTTAAAAGTTTCTCTTAAGAAATCTTGTAACCCCTTTCTTTGAATAAAGTTTCCCCTTTCTCCTGAAGTGTGCTGATTTCTTTCCCCTGGTCCAATTGATCTGAAAATCTCCTTCCAGGATCACTCAGAGGTCAGTGGGATGCCTGCCTCTCCTGTCTGATGGGCATTGGCTCCCAAAGCTGGCCTTGCATTACAGTTACCTAGAGAATTATTAAAAATATCTATCCCAGGGTCCTGAGAATCTGTATTTTTAACATTCATTCCAGGTGATTCTCATGAAGTGCATAGGTATAGGGGAACCCTGTGCCCAGGGCACACAATACCCCTCACCTGGAAATAAGACCAAAGGTGAATGGGAACAGTTTCTGCTTCTGATCCCTCCTGCTGTCTTACTGGGTGGATTGTCGTGAAATAGCCCTGCAACACAGCCTACTGCTTTTGGCTAAGGCACACATGTAGATATAGTTTCCTGAACATCTTGTTTCCATCAGCTTTTCCCAGAAGTTGATGTCAGAATCAACAGAAAGATTCTACTTTGCAACACTCAAACCTCTTACTGCAATCCTTTTCCTTTTACCTCTTATTATCCCAAAATATGGACTGAAACATTCCGCATCCCAGGATGAGCCTCAAGTGTTTTCTGTTTCCAGGAGAACATTTGGCATAATGGAATGAGAGTGTTCTAGAACCAGGCAGATCTTGGTTGGAGGCCTATTCTGTTTGTTGTAATTTAGCCAAGTTGACTAAGGAGAGTTTTAGAGATCCATTTTTCCTTTGTAAAATGGGGCTGATTATATCTTCCTTAGAAGATTGTGTGAAGGTTAGAGATAATGTATGTAGAAGACTTGGGACAGTGCCTTGCCCTTAATAAGCCCTCAACATATCTTTAAAAATACATTTCAGAGATATGAAGAAGGAAGTTATACCTTTCTTAAACTGTTTAGGAATAAATAACAAAGCATTTACGTATGCAACAGATGATATATGTTATATCTTGGTCTGTGGGCTGGTGGATATGGAGGCAAATTTAAATTATGTGCCAATAAGCTAATTTCTCCAAAAACATATTTCCCTGGCTGCCATTATTGCACCCTTCACTCCTTTTCAATAGCAACATCTAGAATAGGCTTACAGTAAAGTGTTTCCCTATTTGTTTCTTTAAATGAAACTAGGTGCATAGCATGATCAGGCAAAGTGTTAAAAATTCTGCATTAACATATGCAGGAGAACAAGTCCTATCTTAGATAAACAGTAACAGAAAGCATGCCCTAAAAATCCATTTACTATTAGGGAGTCATAATTGAAACAAGTGCTTTGAGACTGAGACATCCTCCATCTATCACCTGATAACAATGTTTTGGGGTATATTTTCTGAGTTTTGTGAACTTCTCTTTCTTCAAATGCATTATAAAGATGATAGTTCTAATTTCATAGGACTCCTAAGCATGTAAATTAAAATATTGCATATAAAGCATTTATATTTTCTGGCTTTGGCAAATATTTGTTGAAGGATACGTAAGCTCTTCAACTATAAAACTGTAGGATAAAATATTATGGATGTGAATAAGATGTCAGAAAAATGATGTATAAATCCCAAACAAGGAGATACAGAATGGAATTGTAGTCTGCTCTTCCCCTGAGTTTACTTGTGTATAGCTTCCCCCCTCCCCACTTAGGAACCAAATTGGTGGTCAGGAACTTTGTTTCTGTATCTTAGACTTTAAGAACCACATCATTCATTTCTGTTTTCTTAAAACACAGGTGCACCTATTATTATGTCATTCCCACACTTCTACCAAGCAGAAAAGAAGTTTGTTTCTGCCGTGGAAGGCATGTATCCAAATAAGGATGATCATGAGACATTTGTGGACATTAATCCTGTGAGTACACGTGTCTTCTGGTAAAAGAGCATTAATCAGTCTATACCGTATTTACCAATTTAGTCCTGAGCACTTTTAAGAAACATACTGTCCTCCTTTCATGTATACATTTAAGTGGAAGGAGCTCAGCTCAGTGCCACGCAATGCATAATCCACAGCCCTGTAACTGGAAGGCCGAATTCTGTGGATCTAATATGCACAAATATCAGCAAACTTGCTTTAACAAAAAAGCTACAGTGAAAGGTCCATCAGTGGAAATGACTGAGACCCATGTAAGTTGGCTACTCTTCCGTCACCAGCCTTGGGCCTGAACATGGGTATAATCTCTCCCTAGGCACAGATCAGCAAGGTTGAAGACACTCCTCTGCTTACTAACCCAGGAGTATTTTGGTTGAAATTTACACACACACACAAACACACACACACACACACACACAAGTATATATAAGCACTTGCTTCAGTTACTTTTTAGCAAATCTCTTTCTACAGATACTTTTGAGTATATTATTAAATTAAAAATGTTTTTAAAAGTATACTATTAAATCAGAAAAGCATCAGATAATATATACTTCAATCCTGTATTCATAGAGGAGAAAAACTAAAACCATGTTAAATGCAGGAATATCACAGTGTGAGTCTCCCACTATAGCAGCTGAGCTAAACATTAGGTATCTTCATTGCTGGGCTTTTGAACATTTGGAAAAAGAAAAGGAAAGCATTCTTTTAGCACACCAATTTATGGGCACTTTGCTCTTAGCTTCACTCATCTGCATGTGTATCTGAGAAATCAGATTTGTATATAAGACCAGGTGTAGATTTTCCCTTTATTCTCTTAGTCATCAGGCAAACTGTTAGCCAGTGGTTGGCAGTGTGAACTTTAATATACTGAAACCCTTTTAAATGAAGCCTGAGAATTCCCACGCAGGTGCAGTCATCAAATTATAGGACCCGACATGCCACTCATCTCTGATGGGAAATGATGCTTCCCTGAGACAAGGGAAGGAAGAGGGAGGCTCCTTGAACAGAGGCAGAGCCTCTAAAGGTTATATATAAGTGGGTGCTTGCTTTGGATATGGGAAACATATGCCTCGCCATGAGACTATTTTCCAAATTGCCTCTTTGTTATTTTCAAACGACCTCATTTTGTTAGTGAGTAAGTGGTTGCTTTTTGTTTGAGGACTAGGGGCAGTCTCTTTACCAGAGTGCAAAGGTGGAGCTGCCCTGAAGAAAGGGCTGCTGCTGCTTTTCTCCTGCTTTGTGCGTGGGCCCTGGCCAGACCTGGACACTGTTTTCTGGCTGTGACCACCATCCTCCTCAGGGCATTGTGGATATCCAGACCTGATGGGGTATCTGTTGGACCTGCCTCCTGCCAGGGCCTCTATGGCTTTGTTCTTCAGAGTAACAGTATCCTGGGCACTTGTTAAAAGTGTCTAATCTTAGGTCTTGCCCCAGGCCTACTGAGTCAGAATCTGTATTTTAACAAGATCCTGAAGAATTTGCATGCATATTAAAGTCTGAGAAACATCAATATAACACAATCCCCAGTTCTCATTCTGTTCTGGGCCAGCTTTCCCTTGTCCCACGCTGCCTATGAACATGGCAACATCTGCCTTTTTATCATGACCACTCAGAAATTATACGCTAATAATTGACTCAGATGATCTGTGTGATTTTAGTAAGTCCTAAAGTTTTCTTCCCTCTTCTCTGGATTGCAGTTGACAGGACTTATCCTGAGAGCAGCCAAAAGGATCCAGGTCAACGTGTATGTCAAAAAAATAGAAGATTTTATGTAAGTTTTGCTTCTTTCTATAGAGCCAAAGGCCAGTTTTGCTACATTGATTTTCTGGTGTGGTTGATTTGGAGAGGAATATAGCCCACTTGCCACGTTGCTTGCCCTTGTCCTTGCCCTTCAGAGATCAGTCATGATCAACATTTTCATAGGCTGCCTTGGTCTTGGAAATTACTCATTTTATTTAACTGAACACTTTCAGAGGCATTTTTCTAAGTATATTTATTAGCTCACTTATTCCTCACAATAAACTGGTATTATCTCCATTTTATAGGTAAGGAAATAGAGGCACAGAGAGGCTAAGTAATGAGCTGGAACTCACGCAGCTAGTGTAGTGTCTGCTCTTACCTACTCAACTATGCAGTTCCCTCTCCAGGACTCTGGTTGCCGTCCATTCCTCTTTCCCTCTGCTTCCCAGGGCCAGCCACAAGCTGTCTCTTGGTCAGTTAAAATAGTCTCTAGGGCCTCCCCGGTGGCGCAGCAGTTGAGCGTGGGTTGCGAAGCTGCCCCAGACTCTACAGCGCCGGATCGATCCCTGGCCACCAGTGAGGGTCCCACATGGCGCGCAGACCTCTCCTGCTGCGCCCGCTGCTCCCCTCAGCAGTGTGCTTCATCAGTCTGACTGTTCTGTTCCCTGCTCTGGCTCTGGTGAATTCTCTTACCCTCCTGCAGTTCTGACTGTACCCAGTGCTTATATAAATAAATAAGTAAATCTTTAAAAAAAAAATAGTCTCTAGTGTTCAGTCCTTTTTCCCCATAATACTCCTTTTTAAAAGGATTCCTAAATATAATCTCCTGCTCAGACTTTTCAATGGGATTTATATATATATATATATATGAGAAAATGCTTATGATTTCATATTGAATGAAAAACTAATTATATTATCATCTATCTGTCTATAAATTTATCTAATGAATTTGCCAGATTTAACCCCACATATCATGGATCTTTCTAAGAAACAAAACCACAGTTTGCAAGGATATATTTTGTCACTTGCACATATATTTCTGAGGTGGTATAATTTAGTAGTTAAAATCTAGAGCCTTAGAATCAAAATGCAATTAAATCCTGGTTCTGCCACTTACTCTGGGTAAGATTACTGGGTAGATTACTCTGCTTCATAATTTCCTCATCTTAAATTTGGGATGGTAATACCTACATATGGATTAATGTGAGAATTAGAGACAATAACATCCCTAAACACCACATCCCTGGTATGTGCCCAATAGGTGATCACTCCAGGCTCTTCTGAAGACAATTATGAAACATTCTGGCAGCACTATTCTGTAGCTTCCCCTCTGGTAACTTTTGGGAGAATAATAATCATTTTGATTAATTTCTTTTAGCAACCATCTGTGTTTCGATTAAAAAAAGATTTTATATGTATGGGCAACACTTGGAATTGTTAGACAGATTAAAATCTAACTTCTGATTTATATGCATTTGAAAGAACTCTGCATAACCTAGAAGTCTGTATAAGTTCTGAGTCATTTAGTGAAATGAGTATGCTAGAATGTTCATGCAAACTTGTCTCTCCGGAGCAGTGTGCCATCACAATGAGGGTGTCTATGAAATTGTCTCATCTTTTGTCTTTATAGGGAAACGGGAAACATTAGAACTGTGGTTTTTCCAGTGATGTATTTCAATGAGGTGAGTCCTGGGAGGGAATCACAGGGGTGTTTTCTGTCCAAACTTGAGAAACTTCCATTATGTCTATGAATGTAGCTATGCGTAATTTAAAACGTGGAAAGAGGGGAATGGATTCTTAAAAACGTGTTTGTCCTCTGAAAAGGAGGACGTTTATATGTTTACATGAAGTTGCCTGTGTATAAAACTTGAAAACGACAGAAATTTCCCTTCTCAGGAACATTTTTTAGTGAAACTCCCCTCTGGGAAGCAGGTTATGTTAGAAACAAAATGCAAAGGGAAATGAAGAGATGTCAAACTTTGTAGAACAGTATAAAGAGCCAACACTATGATGGCCTCTTAAAATTCTTTGCTTCTCCATCTTCAAAACCTTGCCAGTATATAAAACGCAGTTAGTTTATATAATCAGTTCCAGAGGGTAAAAAAGTAAAATTGAAGTAACTGGTAACAGTGGGTAATAATTTTGTAAAGGGAGTCTTAAAAATGATGAAATAAAATGTGATATATTCCCATTAATTTCAGGGTTACGGTTGCCTGTCCATCATACAAAGGTTTTCTTCTACTTTCTGGTTAACAAACATATATTTTGGATTATAGGAAAGAGTTCCTATCTGTTCAAGCACAAAGAATTTCCCTAAGGCAGTACATCACAGTGTATGCACAGAAACTTTATTCCTAAATATTAGGTATAATAATTAGGCATATAATAAATAGCAGGTATAAATTGAAATTTTGTAAATAAAGGTATATACTGAAAGTTCAGAAAATACCCACTATTTAAGACACCTCTGATAAATCTTTTTCTAAAAGAATCACATTTAGGGCCTCCCCTGGTGGCATAGATGGTTGAGCGCCATTCTGTAAAGCTGTCCACAGCCTCTGCAGCACCCGTTCAATCCTGGCCGGCTGGCAAGGGTCCCACATGGCGCTGCAGACATCTCCTGTAGCTCCTGCTGCTCCCCTCTGCAGTGTATTTCTTCAGTCTGCCTGTTCTGTTCCCCGCTCTGTCTCTGGTGAATCCTCTTACCCTCATGTGCATCTGGCCTGTACCTCGGTTCTTGTATAAATAAATAAATCTTTAAACAAAACAAAAAAGAATCACATTTAGTGTAGTTCTGTCTCCTTAACTGCCTCCTTTCTTTCACCCAGTTTTGAAAGGGAAATGAAGGTTTTCCCTACTCAATAGATTCTCTATTGCCTGGCTTCTGTTGTTAACAGTCACATGTTTAGAAATCATTGTTATTTTTCTTTTTCCTAAAAGTACATTTTTGTAGAAAAATTGGTAATAGAGATTAACAAGAAAAAGGAAAAATTAAAACCACTTTTCACAAAACCTGAGCTAAGTGGCACAATGCTTTTAACTTTCTTTATTTTACTCAACAATGTGTTGTAAACTTTTTTCCAATAATAACTTTGTAAAATAGTAATGTTTTATGTTTTTTATAACTAACAAGTTCTCTCTATGGAATTCCTAGGAGGTTAAAAAAATATTTCAAAAGTGAATCACTGATAAGGCCATCTCTCAGAAACAAATGCAGCTCACAGCTTCTGTGGCCTCTTGTTTTTTTGCTGGTTTTGATATTACATAGTTGAACTTAGAGTGTAGATACAGACATATCCTTTTTCTTTTCTCATTTTGCATTATATTGATAGCCACATTTATAAACTCTTGAAGAGTTTGTGATTACATTTCTCAGACAAGGTTTTTATTGTTTTGTAGGAAAAATTCAGGCAAGATTTCTAATTTATAGGATCTATTTGTGATTGCTCCTGAGTCATAATTATTGTTTGTGAGAGGGTTATTATGAAAGCAGGACTTTTTGAAACTGCAGAAAGGCCCTGTTCTGCCTCTTAGGATTACAGCTGTGGCATATTTGAATTTCCCTCCTCCCCAACTTTTGCTTTTATTTTTTGTTAAAGACTAGTTGAGTCCAGGAAACCATGGCGTGAAACCACTAGACCTGAAGTAACCTTGGAGACTGCTCTCCCACCTGCTTTTTCCAACAGAGACTCTGACCCAGATAAGCCTTGGCCAGTTGTTGGAAGAACCAGTCTTAGACCCCCTCCCACAGTATCAGACCAATGCATATTGAGCCTAAATTAAGCCAAATCTCATTTGTGGCTCATAATTTTTATGGAGTTAAGCTCTCCAGATACTTCACCCATGACAATTTAAGATGATAATACCTTTTTCTGCATATAGAAAGTGGTATTTTTCTGGAATACTTCCTTACATATACCCTCTGAAATTCTGGTTAGCCTATGAACTTCCCTGAACACTTTCTGTGGAGACCTCTGATTCTGATGTATAGATTTAGTCAAGACAGAAATGATATTTTTCCACATTGTCAGGATGTTTCATTAATTTACTCATTTAATCAATTAGTGTTAACTGAGCACCTACTGTGTGCAGGGTGCTATACCCAGTGTTGAGGTGACTGACATAAGACACTTGTCTTAAGGGACCTTACTAGAAGACCAGTGGGTAAACAGAATGCAGAGTGTAAAGACAGTGAGATGAAGCACAGATAACAGAGTTTTGAGCAGGCTTGAGGTGGCTGGAGAAAATTTCTGGAAGTCAGTTATGCTGAACTGGATTTTAAAAGATGAGTTGGAATTGCCTAATACAAATGTTATTACTCAGTGTGTCTAAATACTTCCCCTCTCTTTATTGCACACTATTTCAAGAATAAAACATGTCTTCAGGAGAAAAGGAAAGATGTTAATGAATAAGTACCCATTCTGGGTCTTTAATATATAAATGGACTCTTTTTGCATCTATAGTTTTCTAGAAGGAAAGCATATTCAAATTGTGTTTAATGATTTGAAAAAAAGATGTAGAAAAAAGATGTCACAAAAAACTTTACACCCAGATTATTTATTAAAGGGAATACTATTTTCTTTCCTTCCTAGAGTGTTCTCATTGATAAAGAGAATGCAGGTCGACTGAAGTCTATGGTCAACACCACGTTGATTATCACCAACATACCCTATATCGTCATGGCACTGGGAGTGTTCTTTGGCTTGGTCTTCACCTGGCTTGCTTGCAAAGGACAGGGGTCCATGGATGAGGTGAGCAGGGCTAAAGGAACTCCCCCCCCACCCCGATAACTTACCTGAGAAATTCAACTATGTTTTACTGAGGGCTGTCAGCTGACTCTTTAAGGTAGATTCTGTGGCTTTATAGTGGGCAAAATGATTTCATGGTTAGACTAATGGAAATGTGTCAAAGGAGAGCTGATAAAATGGTACTTGTCTGGTACTTGAGGCACTCTTGGTGGGAATGGAATTCCTGGGAGTAACCTTTAAAAACAGTCTTTGAAAACAGTAACCTGAAAAAATTGGAAGAATATATGACAGTTAAGCACCTGGGCTTTGGTGTCAGACTGCCTAGAGTCACATCAAATAGTAGCCATGTGATCCTAGAAACTGTACCTCAGCTCTTTACCTGTGAAATGGGATATAAGAGCACCCCCTTAGGAGTTTTTCAGGAGGATTAAATGATATAGTAAACATAAAACACTTGGCCTAGTGTTAGCATTTAGTAAGAGCTCAAACATTAGTTATATGATAAAACAGTTCTAAGATTATAGGGCAGGGCAGCCAGCGACCTGCTTGGAAAAAATCCCTGATACAGCAGAAGACAACTGCCCCTGAGCATCACTGCATTATAAATGACTGGCACAAGGGAGTACTTTCTTGGAGGAAATACTGGGATAAACCCAAATAGTTGGGATAATAAGCCATTAGGTTGGCCTCCCTATATGGGCTGCTGGCTCACCCAGGGGGCTAAATACCTTCAGTGAGCCTTTTCTGTAGAAGCTTTTCTTAAATTCTCAGCATCTTCCCTGTTTGCCACAAAAGCTTTTGTGTTTTTCTTCCTCATTGCCTCAGCAAAGTATCTGAGGCAAATGTGAAGAAACAAACTAGGTTACAAGCATCTGAATAATATTGGCTCCAATTCCTCTGCCTTCCATATTTCTTGTTTCCAGTCACATTAGTATGGATTAGCCATGAGACAACTATTTAGCCATTTCTGTTTGAGACTCTTACTTCCAGTCTGACATTGTACAATCACTGCACTTTTCATAAGCATAGAGGAAAGCCCATGTAAATGTTAGTACTGCTCCTACAATGAACCATCTTCACATATTCAACAAGTAATCATTGAGTACCTACCACCTTTGAGACATTGTTCCAGGAAGGAAGCTAATTCCATAGTGATGAGTATTCTACCATGTCAACACAGAGAAGGGTGCTGCTCCAGTACCAGGCAGGATGGTTAGAGAGGCCTCCTCAGGTTAGGGCTAAATCTTAAAAAACAAGAAGCAGGTCGAGAAGAGAGGTGAGAAGAGCACCTTCATATGAGTCTCTCCTCTTATCCCTCCCCTTCCTCCCTCAAACTTTCACATCTGGGGGCATTTCCTATATGGACACCTAACTCTGTTCTCTCTTTTGAGTCTCAGGGGACAGAAGATGAAAGAGCACCCCTCATGCGAACCTAACCTTGGCTTAACTTGGCAAAGGAACCACATGAGCTATTCTGCCCTAGACCATGATGTGGAGAAACCATGCGTGTCCTCATAGGCTTCTTGGCTGTTATCAAAGGGAGGGAGAAGACCTGGTGCTGCAAGTGATGAGCACGTCCTGGCCAGAGGCTCAAGGACAGACTGACATGGTTGGCCAGTAGGCTTTATAAAGTCCTGTGGTTCCTGACAAATTGTTTTGTTTTCATGTGTCTAGCAAGTATTTAATAAACTCTTGTATAGTAATTTTATCGGGTGCTGGTAGCTCCAGAAGTTTGTGGCCACTGTTGTGGTTATGATGTCTCTGTACCACTTGTTAATGTAACCTTATTCAGTATGCTTCCTCTCACCAAACTTTGTACCCCAAATACATACTTACCATTTTACGTTGTATTCTTCCATTCATTTCATCCCCAAAATAGAAGAAGTAAGATTTCGGAACCCAGGGTAAAATGGTAGCCTCTTTCAAAACATCTCTCAAATGTATCTAATTTCATTTTTATAAAAGGTACGTATTGCACATCATACTAATTTTGAGTTCTTAATTCCTGCAGGAAAATAATTTGGTCTTTCATACTGGGTAGGAGACAAGCAGGGAAGGGTTGGCTGGGGCAAGGTAGGCAGGGGAGTAGCACTGTGAGTTTGACAGTGATAAGCACCTGAGGAATTTTTTACTTGTACTTTTGTGAATGGATTGAATGCATAAAAAATGTTGGTGAGGAGAAGTAAGGATATTTCATATAGAACCAAATGCTAGTCATGACATTTTATGAATAGTTAACTTTAAGTTTTAGTGAAAATGATCTTGGTGTGGAAAGGGACATCTGGGAGAATGTAATAGTAACAACTTTCCTCCTAATCACCCTTTCCAGGTATGAGACTGTATTAATTATAATGCTATTGAATGGTTACTTGTAAAATTATCTGTGAATACAGAAAACCCACCCATCTACAGCCTAAGTCACACATAAATTTCAGGGAGTTTGATACACTAAAGTGACATTTCTTTGGGGGTAGTCTTGCTGGTAAATTTGAAATTAGTTTTACATGTCCTCTCTCCTCAGATTCAAGTCCTCCCCATGTTTTGTGGCTCACTGTCACTGATTGGAGTGCGTACCCTACTTGTCCTGTGACAATCATTTTGCCAACAGAATGACAATGCTTTAAAATATTGCACAGAAAGTGCTTTAAGAAGGTTCTTGGGACCAGAAACAGGGCCACCTCTTCTCAAGAACTCTAGGCTTTCAGTGTAATCTGAGTCAGAGGATTGAGAACCATCAAACATTGAGGAATTCAATCATATTTAAGGGTTTTTTTAAATTCTCCAAGTTCACTATTCTTTATTTTATTGAAAAATAGTTATAACAAAAATGTTCAATGATTTTCTTAACAGCTGATTCATTCTACAGGATTTTTTAAAACTGAATTTCAATGTTATCAAATGGAAAAAAGTCATGGATTTCGCTAACATACTTCTTAAATCTGTGTGATGGTAATGAATAGCTTTAGTTTCCTTACTTTAGTTTTCCTTGTCTCTATATTGAAGCAATGTGATGTTTCACTTAACTCTCAACTTCTCTGTAAGACAGAACCTACAGAAACCCCAAGTCACCAAAAGTGAAATACTAAATCGAAATATCTTGTCTTCAATAATGCCAAATATTTAGATGTTTAGATGTATCAATAAACTAGATAATTGGGGTAGCTTATTTTTTAATGTATCCATTTATCCCCACTCCTAAAATGGATAAGCCAGTATATATTCATTGATTCATGCTATTATCAGGATATAAGCATATGTGAGGAGAAAATTTTTTCATATTATGAATGATAACATTCATTGATGAGTTGCAATTTTCAAATGAATCCCACACAGGCGGAGAAACCAAAAACATTTCCATATTTGTGTCATGACTCTTAATAATTACTTGGCTTAAAATCACATTTGGCGTTTTCCCTCTGAAAAGTCTGTGGCAAATTCATAAACTGCAATCAAGATTATAGATTAAGAAGAATGAATGGATTTTAGGTTAAAAATTAAGTATTCCTTGTGTTCATTCTCTTGGAGCGGTTATCCTGAAAAGGCTCCCAGAGCCTGACCACCAGGTTATCATTGTCAGGGGATGTGGGCACCCTATGCTGTGAGCCTCAGCTTTGAGTTGGGGGAGTCAAGACAGAGAGAGGTCACCTCACTTCTCTCAGGAGACGTTGGGGCTTAATCACAGGACAGGAAATGAGCTTTATCACATTTAGCTCTCTGTTTTTCCCACTTGACTTTATTTCCTCATGTTCTAGAAAGATCACTAATGGTCAAGTGGAGCAAGTACTACATGACTAACCCCTATTGGGGTTTTTACATAAGGGAGGCTAATTTTTTATTTAAATTGTTTAAGATATGAGTTCTTTAAAAAGTGACTTGCATACTCGCGAGGCATGACTACTGGAATTAACTGCTTGAGGCTGTCAAAAAGAATACTGAGCAGAATGCTCTTCATGTAGCTTATATACTTGGTTTGTGTCATGTGGTTCTGGAAATGTTTTATTTCTACGCTTAATGCAATGACATGTTTTTAGTAATAAAATCTTTATATGAAATCATACTGGAACTTGTATATTATGTCCCCAGATGTCTAGTTGTCTAGAGTGTTTCATCTGAAAGATGCCCTTTGCCCTCTTGTCTGAAGCAGGTCTGAGTCTCGCCCCTCAGGCTGCCTCTGATCTTGGCTCTGCTGTTTCACAGCCAGGCTGACAAGCTGTGCTTCAAGTAGCCATGCTGTGCCTTTCTTTGTGACTTAAATTTCTCCAGAGCCTTAGAAACTTCTTGGGACATGAGGGGAAATTGGTAGTTTGTACCCCCAGGTATTGATACTCAAGCAAAAGGGGCAGCAGCCAGCTGATGAAAGTGCCAGTCCTCAAAGGAACAGTTGTCAGGCTCATTTTACATGGTTCCTCAACTAGAATTGCCCACATTGGGAACTGCCTCCTATTATCATTTCTCCATTCTCTGTCTTACTTCCTGCCTCCTCCCAAATAATCTACCTGCACCAACATTCTTACCATGTCTGGTTCCAGCTGAAAGCAAACTAAATGCAGACAAGTCCATCTAGAAGGGCCTGGCAGCATCGGAGAGTGATTGAAGAGGTACTGGACTTTTGTTTCTGGAGACATTAGGTTTAAAGTTATTAATCCAAAATTTTAGATGACTTTTAAAACCTTTCCCATCCCATTTTTTTTTTCAGCTGAGACAGAAGGGATGATTTATTGTACATGTGTAACATTCAGCCAAACTAAGAATAGAAACTAGTCCCGAATGTCACAGATGCAAGGTTCTAGATAGTAGCATACAGTCCAGCAATTTGTACTGGCACCCTGGCTTCTGGCATTCTTTATTTCTGCTCCTGTGGCTTCCATGGAATACAAGCTAGCAGTTCACCTGGATCTCTGCCTCGTCTTTCTTCTTCTGCCCTTTAGCCTGTGCATTTGCACCTGTGCATTGGCTCTCACGGCATGGAGGCTTCAAAGAAGATGACAGCAGTGCCCAGTAATTGTGCATCTTTTTTCTGAAATCAGAGCAAATCTAGATCAGTCATAAAATAGCTATCTCTGTGTGACCAATGTCCTTATATAACAAAGACACCAGGTCCCCAGGATGTGTGCTTCCTACAAGCTTCAAATCTGATTTTAGTTGGCTTCCGTAATAAGGGAAGCTCCTTGTAACTATTTCTGCTTATTCAAATGTATATAAACACACCTGGAACTCTATAACATACCAAGCCTAATTATTTCAAATGAAACAGTAAGAAAAAAATCCAGAAAATATATTTAAAAGAATACTAATAACAGGTGACACATACTGCCAGATATTAAAACATGCATCCATGAACAATAATTAGTAGTGCTATGTAAGATGAGTGTTAGAGAAGACAAAGTCTAAAAGCATGGATACACATGTTTCATACACTATAAATTGAAATACTGGTGACCAAAAAGAAACAGAAAATTTATGGTGTAGTTGAGGAAACAGTAACCAAATAATCACAAGTGTCTAAGTTTCATGATGTTCTGGGAATACAGTTGGGGAAAGGCTTCCTGAGGAAGTAACATATGACAGAGACTGATGAATAAATGTTAATTAGGCAAAGCAAAGCATTTCAGGCAGAGGGAGCATGACTTGTCCAAGAGCAGAATGAATGTGTTTACAAGTGACCGGGAAAAAGTAGTTTGGCTGTGGTTTAGAAAGGGAATAATAGTGAGAGATGGGCTTGGAAAGAAAGATGATGATGAGATCATGTTGAGTCTTGAGTTAACTTTTTGCCTATTTGCTCTTAAGCCCACATGAAGTCTTTTAAATTGGGCTGTGTTGGTGGAGTGGGAGACACAACTGGTTTGTTTAGGAAGACCCACTCCAGCCATGGGGTGAACCAATTGGAAAAAATTAATATGGATGCAGGGAGGTCAGTTAGGAGACTGACTTTTGCTAGTGAGGCAGGTCCTTTTGGGTTCCCATTAGCATGCAAGGTGGAGCTTACCTTGATGTCATGCATCAACCTCCAGAGTGAATTCCACAAATTCATATAGCATGGGTTAAGTAATGGGTTTTATTGAGGAAAATAAAAATGTGTAAAGTCAGGGCAGCTGGAAAAAAGAAGGCACAGACCCTCCATTCTCCATCATCCCAAGGAGAGGCAAGCCAAGGGCCAGACCACTATTGAGTCTCAATAAGAAGAACATATCCTCCTGCTCCTCCCCCTTTTCTATAAGGAAATGTGAAGAAGCAGTCTTGTCAATGGAGGAATGTACAAGTGCTGAGCAATAGGAAGTTTGGAGTTAGGGTGCCAGTGGTTTATAGAAGTTGTCTGGGAATGTCAACTGTGCACGGGATATTACAATCTATCTCTACTGCTGGGGTGAATACACCAATTCATGGACCTGCGCTTGAGTGCAGCCCATTCCCTAGAAGATGGAACCCCAGCCATTGCTAGCTCATTCTCCAGACAACCCAGAATGAACAGTCCTACTTGTTACACTGCAGGGGCTACTGCGGGAGTCTAGGTGGGTGCTGGAAAAAGTAGTTTTGCTTTTGTTAGCCACTCTGTCACAACTACTCAATACTGTTCTTGCATGGATGCAACCACCCACAACACATCACAGCTGAAGCAGCCATAAACAAAAGGATGTCTGTGGTCCAATAGACCTATTTACAAAAATAAGTGGTAGGCCAGTGCTGATTCCTGGTCTAGTCAAGAGATTATGGCTATTTGAATCAGGGAGATGGAATGAAGATTAAGCAGTTTATAAACATTTACAAAATAAACTATGTAGGACTTGGAGATGAATATGGGACAGCCAAGGAAAGGGATATGTCCAGAACACATTTGTTCACTCCCCAGGGACTACCATGATGCAGACTCTCTGCTACCACTAGGGGTGCAATCAGTAAATAAGGCTTCACACCATTATGGAACTTACATTAAATATGGGGAGAGAAAGGGATAAAAATAGGAGGTCTTGAAGAATAAGGATATGAAAAAAGCTGATAGGAGTAGAATATGTTATTGTGGAAACTATAGTCAAGGAAGGCCTCCTTGGAAGAAATATGCCCCCATCTTTAACACTCTGTCCTTCAATATTTTCTCCGTTCCTCCATGAGCTCTGTGAGCATGCTTTACTGATGCTTTTCCTCCTCAGGCAGCTTTTTCCTCTCTCTCAGGCTCCCCTGGGCATGTGCTCTCTTAGGAGTGTGGTGCTCAGCTGACAACTCTTTTCACCTGATACTTTCTCCCTGATACTCACTGACTCCCTGACTTCAATTACAACGGAAACATGGGTCTGTGGTTCAACTTCTGCCCCACATATCCAAACATCTGCTGGATATCCTTAGTCAGGCTGTCCTCAAATATGGTGAGTAAAGAAAGGAACTCATTTCTTTTTGGCGTCTTCTCAAATTTCCATTACTGGTGTCACACCTACTCAGATGTACAAGCCAGAAACCAGGGATTCACAAGCTCCTTTCCCTCACTCCACATCTCATCAATCACCATGTCCACCCACCCCTCAGTGTCTCTGTCTGCTGTCCTCATTCCTATATCAGCACTCTCACTGGGACTCCTACAATAGCTACTATCAGCACTTAGCTTTTCAAAAAGCATATACAGTGCAGTCTTACCCATCCTTATCCATAGCCACCGAATTCATTTTTGGAGAGGCAACCAATGATACTCTTTTTTTTTTTAAAAAAAAATGTATCTTTCTAAGAATATTTTGTACAAGTAGGTATATTTATACCTTTTCCCACATAAATTGTAACACACTACTTAGTGTTTTAAATTATGTCTCTTTTTTTGTAATTTATCCTTGAGATCTTTTGTTTCAGTACAGGAAGATCTTTATTATTCCTGTTTCATGGCTAGATAATATTCTTTGTAAAACCATTCAAGTGAACCTATTTGTTTCCAATCATTTGTTATTATAAATGGTGGTGTAACAACCTTATATCCCATCATTTTGCCAAATCACTTATAAATTTCTAGAAGTAGTATTGCTAGGTCAAAAGACATCTGAAATTTTGACATTACATTTGTTATTGTTATTATTAAAGTTATACAAGCACATAGATTTAACAATCAAATAATTCCACAAAATTTGTTATATATAAGAAACCTAAGCAGACAACATTCCCAGAATTACCCTCTTTTAGTCTTTGGGGAAAAAAATGTACCCCCATGACTCCAGATGGCACACCACTTCATGAGTTTTCCATTTTAACATCAATATATTGACTCTCCACTATGGAGGGTGAGAATCTGGCTTTCCTTCCTACCTGGTCTTCATTACACAGATATTCTTTCCACCCCTCCCCCCATTTTTCCAACATTGTTATGCCATAATTTTGGTTAGATCAACATTCAGTTTATGTTATTGGGATTATGTAGAAGCTTTCTACAAACGAGCCCTGTCTTAACCTTTTGCTACTTTCCCTTTCTGACATGTTGTCCCATTTGCTTAGTTTCCCATGTGTCTCTTGCCAGTTCCCCCCAAAATCTATCAGTTATCTGACTCTCAAATTGTTGATCCTTATAAAGGCTTTGCCTAGATTAGAACCTTCTCACCTGCGACAATCTTCTCAGCATGAGTCACAACTGCTCTGTTGGAAGCCCTATATCTCCTCCCGTGTAAAAGCTGTCTCCCATTGTTGACTTAAATATTAAGTTTCAGAATGAATACAGAGGACAATAAATCCTTTTAAGGTAGGCTCCCCCCTCCACCCCCAGCAAGTATTCTAAGTGCTTAAGAGTACAGATTCTGGAAGCTGATTATCCCTCTGTTAGTTTCCGCCTCCATAAGATGAGGATAATAACAGTAACCCCTACTTCACAGAACAGTTGATGATTAAAACATGTAAAATGCTTGGAGCAGAGCCTGGCACATAGCAAACACGTGGCTGCTGCTATTCTCATCACCTTTTCAGTTCTTACAACACTCCTCCTTCCAGCCTTTGTTTAGCCTACTCAACCTTCAGGCCTAGGTTCAAACATTACTTCCACAGGGACGCTTTCTCGACCTCCCGGAACCGCTGATTGACAGGACATCTTCAAGCGCTACTGCATGCCTATTCCAGCCCCCTGCAACTCCCTACTGCACGCTGCTACCGTACAGAAACAATGTCACTCTCCCGCACACCTTTTTTAGGTGGCCTCACTAAAGGCACCCAGCGTTTTCCCTCGGTTGTGACGCCCCGCGCCACGTGAAACCACAAAGCCCGAGCGAGCTAGCCGGACGGGGGGCGTTCCCTCTGGATCCTCCACCCCCTACGCCCTGCAGGCGTTCCGGCCTCTCAGGATAGGCCAAAAAAGAGGCGGAACTCCGAGATCCGGGGGCCGGTTTCCTCGCCGGATCAAAAAGCGAAGCGCACCGAGTGTCGCGGGAGCAGAGCCTCGGTCCCCCGGTCCCGCGACATGGCCTTCAACTTTGGCGCTCCCTCGGGTACCTCGGGCACCGCCGCAGCCACTGCAGCCCCCGCGGGTGAGTGACCCTCCCTGACCTTATTTTGGGGACCTGGGAGGCTTCCGGTCCGACCCCTCAGCCGGTGACGCTCGGGCTTGGAGATCGTGGGGTCTCCCGCCCACGCGGAGACCGCCGGGGCTTCGGGAAAGGGCGGGGGCCGCCAGAGGGTCGGGGAGGCCGCGGGGGCATCGAGGCCCGGCCCGGCGCGCTCCCGCCACGGAGGGGTCCCCGGAGGGCCCTGCCCTCCTGGGCTTGGCTTCCCGCCGCCGGGAAGTCTGGAGAGACTGGAAACTGCTCCTTTCTCTCCATGTCCGAGACCCGTCTTCCCTTCCCCTCCTCAGCCTCCGTGACTCGCGGGAACGCTCGCGTGGCTCCGGTGAGGACGGGGCTGTGAGGTTAGGGCTGGGGAAGCCCAGCCGCTTCCCTGCGGCGCCGTGGGCCCCCGCAGCAAAAGGGCGGGATCCGGTGCCGGAGTAGGTCCTACCGAGGGGTTTCTCGCGCCAGCTCCTTCCTCCGGTCCCCACCTCCTTTCCTAAACTTGTTTAGAACAAAGTGAAGGTCTGTCTTTGTTCACTGCTGTGAAACCTGCTGATTCTTCTAATACTTTTCTTGCTTTCTTTTCCTTTTCTTCTTCCCTCTCCTCCCTTTTAAAATTTTGTTTCTTTGCCTACACGCCTATCAGGATTTGGTGGGCTTGAGACTGCCAACTCCACCGCCAGTGGGTTTAATTTTGGGGGTTTCGGATTAACTGCTAATCCTGCAGTGAACTTTAATATTGGGAATTTCGGTGTTTCTACTACCTCGGCGACTCCGTTCAATTTTGGTAACAGTCTGGCAAGTGCAGGTAGATACTGCGGGTTGTATGTGTAACAAATGTTGGGAGCAGGAGTCCAAGAATATTTTATGGTTCCTAGAATTTGGGGAAAAAACAGCTTATGTCTGATAAGGAAAGAGCATTCATTTCCTATTGCTGAATCAGAAACATTTGTATCAAGTTTTGACGGTCATTAAAGATTTGGTTTTGGGAAGCCTTGCAAATTTTAATATTCCTTTGTGAAATTTGCATTTAATTGAAAAGAAGATACTTTCCAAGTGATAAGAATTTGGATGGGTTATTAGTTTGAGTAGAGTATATCTTCCAAAGTATAATCTCATCAGGCCCATTTTCTTGGGATTCTTGGACTCCTGCAGTTATTTTTCATTTTTCCTGCATCTTTCATTGAATTTCATTTGACCGTCCTTGTGTTTCTCCAGAGAAACAAGTCTTATACGAACAGCAGTAAACTATACTGTTTTTTAACCTCAGTAATAGAATATATTTTTTAACAACTCAGCAGATTAAGATTTCTGTAAAATAACAATTATAAAAGAATCCCCAGCTTACTGGATTTTTGACAAATGATCGGAGAGAGTGATTTAATTTACCGTGAGATAATAAATTCTAAAAGGTAGATAAATCATCTTTACATTCAAAGACATGATTAGGAAGATTTTGGTATCTATGTGTTGTTTGAAGATCCCTGGAAATTTTGCAAAACACAAGCTATAATCTATGTGTATTTATTTATTTAAAATAGTTCTATGTGTATTCTGTATTCAGTGACCCTGTAGACAAATCTTGCTCCTCAGCTGCTCGTATATGAATTCATTGTCCATATTCTCTTACTTTATGCCCATGCCAATTATATGCATTTGGCAAAGATTATTTACTCCCTAAAACTTATTTGGGAAGTCTGGTATTTTGTGCAGTGAGTTGTTACAGCATTATGAGTATCACCATGGCATCTGCGTTGAAAACATTTTGAAGAAAACTTGAAAATTCCAAAGATAAAATAATCTTTTATCATTAAGATATACTTAAAGTAAGCAGATGTTACTTGTCACCTGGTATATTCACTTTCCTTGTTTGCTTAAAATTGGCACTGGGTAAAACAAAATCATTATTTTGCAATTTGTGTTTCCTAAATAAAACCACCCACCTTTTAATTCAGCAACAGTTAATAAACCTATTTGATATATGCTTGATTTCATGTTCATTTGGAATTATCACTTTATGTGTAAGTTTTGAGTTGTTACAACTTTTAGCTGCTCATAGGTATATATAAACTAACTTAACCTTCAGCAAACAACTGATAGAAATACTATGTTGTATCTATGTTGATTCACTATTACTAATATATGTATTTGGTATTACGGAGCCTAAGATACCAGTGTTTTTATCATATAACCAATTCAGAATATATCATAATTATTCTGTAGAAGTGAAGACTAATAGAAAAGATTTAATGTTCAGTACTTCAGGTGATTTTTAATCTAAATGTTTACTTACAGTCTGAAGTACTGTAATGGAAGCTACACATATATGGAGTATTTGGTTGTGCCTGCATACAACATGTGGTATATACTTGTATAATTTTCCAATTCAGAATCATATGATGAATTTGTTTTTTCTTTTTATATCTTTTATATTACAGTATTGCTGAATCTCAGAAATAGATTAAAAGTTAAAACTCCAGAAAATCTATAGCTTAACTCAGAGAGTACTGATGGTCAAAACATTTGTCTTAAGTCTACAGCATCACATTGGTAATTGGGTAAAAACTGACAATGGGGAAAAAAAAAACGTAAAACAATTTTAGGTAGACTAGAATCCCATTCCGTTAATTTCATCTCTAAACTTACCTAAAAATGAAATTGGTATATTTGCCAGATTTTCTAAACTGTAGTGCAGAGGCCCTTGACAGCCATGCTAACCTTCCCTTCCTTCCACATTTTGTCACTTACCTTTTCCTTGAAAAAAATGTTCTTGTGATAGAGGTCAGAATGCAGTATGTTTCCTTTGAAAAACTGCTTTGTCCTGAAGGACACTAAGTAGAAATGTATACTAAAATAGATATAAGTAACTTGACTAAAGGTAGCATCGTAAACTGGAAATATAGTGTGCCATCAGATCTGCTTGGCATACTATTTTTAAGACATTTATTTGTCAAAAAAATAAAATGTATTGAATAAGTGTTTAAAATCCCTAAATTTCAAGTAGAAAATAGACTTCCTATTTCCTTTGGGGAAAATGGGAATATACAACACTACAAAACTACCATTTTTTTATAGCAATACTGTACTGGAATTCAGGAACTGCTGTCATTTTTTACAAAATTGTTCACATTGAACATATCACCAATCTAATTGACCCATTAATGTTTTCAGTGTTAAGTCTTGTAGGCATTTGAATTTGCAGCACCTATTTGAAAGGTAAAATTTTTCCTATTTTGGCAATAGGCTTTACATATCCTTACAGCTAGGTAACCATTAATCAGTTAACCCTTTAGTCAAAGGGTCTATTTCACTGTGGTATTTCTACTTTAAATATTTAGTTTCTTATTTCTTGTAACATACTGACTTCTTGATTAGTATTAGAATTTTTTCATTATTGAAAATAGAGAAAGGAAAATTAGATCAATGTATTTTGTCTTTATATTTAGCAATTAGTTATGAAATAATATGAAAAAGAAATTACCTCTTGTATACAAAAGATTCTTCCTGTCTATCCTTTTTTAATTAGGTGGGTTTGGAGGATTTGGGACAGCATCTACAACAGCAGGTTCTGCATTCAGCTTTTCTGCTCCCACCAACTCAGGCACTACTGGTAAGAGGACATCTCATCACTTACAGACATAAATGAACTAGAAATCACTTTTTGTTTTTATTTCCTAACTTATGCAATTCAAATTTTTCATTCAAAGGACTCTTCAGTGGTACTCAGAACAAAGGTTTTGGATTTGGTACCAGCTTTGGCACAACAACAGGAACTAGTACTGGTTTAGGTACTGGTTTGGGAACTGGACTGGGATTTGGAGGATTTAATACTCAGCAGCAGCAACAGCAAACTAGTAAGTATAAGAGGTTTTCACCCTACTTAAAACATAAAACTGTATGGGCATCCCCGGTGGCGTAGCAGTTGAGCGCTAGGTTGCGAAGCTGCACACAGCCTCTGCAGCGCCGGTTCGATCCCCGGCTGCTCCCCGGTCACCAGAGGAGGGTCCCACATGGCGCGCAGACCTCTCCTGCGGCCCGCTGCTCCCCTCAGCAGTGTACTTCGGTCCTGCCTGCTCTGCTCCTTGCTCTGGCTTTGGTGAATTCTCTCACGCTCCTGCGCTTCTGACTGTACCCAGTGCTTGTATAAATAAATAAATAAATAAATCTTTAAAAAAAAACAAAACATAAAACTGTAATAAGATACCTAACATTGAGTGCACTGTTCAAAATACTTTTAGTGGATTATTCTTTTTTTAAGAATTACAAACAGTATATTCCAAAAGATTTCAAAAGCTACTGCTCATGTTTATATGTATTACAACTGGAAAGAAGACTGGATGATTAGGACACTTTAAGGCCTTTGTGTTTAGTATCATTCCATTTAAATTTTCATTGCTAAAAATAAGACAAATCTAGAAAATGGCACAAAAGTAGTTTAATGAATTATAGCTAAGGTGAACACCTGGTAACACTGCCTGTTGGGAAGTTGAAACCTGGCCAGCCACTTCAGGAGCCCTGCCACATTTTATTCCCAATTGCTGCTTTGTGAGAGGAACTTTAGTCTGTCTTTTATGATTACTTCCTTACTTTTCTTTATAGTTTTGAAATTCAAGTGTTAACAGTTTTGTTCAGTT